CGGAGCGCGGAGAAGGCACCGGCCACTGCCGCCGCCCGGGGGGCCCGCTTCCCTGCCCGCCGCAGGAAAAGCGATAAAAGGGAGGGCGAGTCGGTGACAGAGCTGGGGACACGGGGATGGGAACACAGGGGACGCGGAGGGATGTTCTTTTATTTCTGAGCGGCTCCATGGAAATGGGGTTGCACAGAGGTCGCGGCCAGTGGGCGTCAGCGTGAGGGGGGACAGGGAATCTTGGGGTGGGGCAAGGAATTCACAAGGAATGAGACCCTGGGGAGGGACGAGGAAGGTGCTCAGGGAAGGACATGAACCCTGGGGACAGATGAGGAAAAAGAGGGATGAGGGCGCTGGGGAGGGGTGAGGAGGATGCTTAAGTGAGGCAAAGATCCTGGAAACAAGGACAGTTGGGAGAAACAGGGATGCTGGGAAAGGACAAGGATGTCTGGGAGAAATGAGGTGATTGAAAGGGAAGGGGACAGCTGGCGAGGGACAAGATTACATGGGGGGGACAAGGACACAGCAGATGGATGAGGGTGCTGGTGAGGGACAAGGAAGGCTGGGTGACAATGACACCTGGAGGGAAGAGGATATGGAGGAAGGACAAGGATTTCCAGGGGATTGAGGATTGCTGGGGGAAGAGGACACTTGGGAAAAACAAGATTGCTTGGGAGGGACAAGGACAGTAGTAAGGGACAAGGATGGTTGCAGGGGGATGAGGACAGTGGGGAAGGAAAAGGACACTTGGCATGAGGGACAAAACAACTGATGAAGGATGAGGACACTCAGGAGGGCTGAGAAACCTGGGAATGAGGATGATTAGGAGGGACAAGGACATGTAGAGGGAGCACAAGGCCACTCAGGTGGCTTGGGAAGGATAAGAACACTTGGGAGAGACAAGGATGGACAAGGTAGGACAAGGATGATGAGGAAGGACATGAACTATCAGAAAGCACAAGGACAGTGGGAAGGAATGGGGATAGTCAGCAGGAATGGGAATGGTCAGGGGGCCAACAACCCTAGGGAAAGATAAGGACACAGGGTGGACAACAGTGCCTGGGCTAGAGAAGGGGATGAGGATGCTGGGGAAGGAGGAGGACACTGAGGAAGGACAAAGACACTTAGAGGGATGCAGACTCTTGGGGAGGATGAGGATGCTGGAGAGGAATGAAGAATTTTGTAAGGGGTGGAGATGCTGAGGAGGGATGGGGACACTGTGGAAGGAGGAGGACAAGAACAGTGAATAAGGAGGGACACCCACCACCTTGGTGCCACCCAGCCTCTGTGGGTGGCTTTTCCTAGTAAAGAGCCCCTGTTTGGGGAACTGCCTAATAAAGTTGGATTTTAGCTGAGCCAAGGGAACTCTGGCCTTGCTGTGTCCTGCGCCCTGGGGACTGCCACGCTCCTGTCCCTCCTGTCCCCAGCTCACCATCTTCCCTGGCCCAGGGGCTGCCAATCCCTGACCCCTGGCCACCTGGAAAGCAAAGGAAACATTTTCCAACACCCTGCCAACACCTCACCACCCCCAGTGCCCACCACCCTGGCATTGGGACACTATGCACCGTTCTGTGAGCTACTGTTCATGGCTGTCTCTGTCCTGGATCTCTGTGGCACCTCCAGCACTTTCCACCAGTCCCAGCTGCTAGAGTGGACTCCAGTTGGGAAGACCTGCTCCAAGGGCGATGGTGGTGGTGAGGGACCTGCAGGGAAGAAGACAAGAGATGGTGGCATCACCATGGTGTCATGATGGAGCTGTCTTCCTTGGGGAGGTGACAATGCTCAGGGTCAGAGAGGGGATCCAGGGACCTTTCACTCACCCCCGTAGGCCCCATCGGTGTCCTCAAGGCTGCAGTAGAGGCCATCGACAGCCACAGCCAGCGCCCGGGCAAAGCTGGCATCCAGGAGGAAGGAGCCGTCACAGGAGCTCACCAAGCTGCAGCGGGTGCTGGCAACGTTGTCCTCTGAGACAGAGCCCCAGCCGTTCAGCAGCGACCCTCCTGGAGAGCCCCTCGTTGCTGTACGCTCCTCCTCCTCCTCTTCTTCCTCCTCCTCCTCCTCACCTAGCTCAGAGGCTGGTGGCCCATAGATGTAGCCGTAGGTGTGCAGTGGTGAGAAGGACCGTGGTGTGGTTGGTGCCGGGGGTCTGTGGGGAACACAGTGAGGGAACTGCTGGCACCAGGGGATGCTGCAACCATGGGAGTGTCCCAGGGGGATGGGGAATACCTGCAGCAGGCGGTGTCCTGGTCCATCTCCAGGACCTCAGCCACCTGCTCTTGTGTGAGGACCCCATCACTGAATGCTAGCGAGAGGCGCCCGGTGGCCAGGGACATGTCCTTGGGGTACCTGGCAGCCAGGAATATGTCCCTTGGGTGCCTGGTCTCCAGTGACATGTTCCTGGTGTGCCTGGTGGCTGGGGACACGTCCTTGGGGTACCTGGTGCCCGAGAGCATGTCCTGGTGACCAGTGACTGGAGACACCTCTTCAGGATGCCTGGTGGCTGGAGATGTGTCCCTGGGGTGCCTGGTGGCTGGAGATGCATCCCTGGGGTGCCTGGTGGCTGGAGATGTGTCCCTGGGGTGCCTGGTGGCTGGAGATGTGTCCCTGGGATGCCTGGTGGCTGGAGATGTCTCTCTGGGGTGCCTCAAGGCTGGTGAGATGTTTTCAGTGTACCTGCTGCACAGGGACATGTCCCTTGTCTGTGTGGTCACCAGTGATGGCTCCCTGGGATTCTTGGTGGCCTGAGACATGTCCTTAGAATACCTGGTTCCCAAGAACTTGTCCCTGTGGTGCTCGGAGACTGGTGACATCTTCTCAGCGTGTCTGGTGAGTGGGGATGTGTCCCTGGGGTTCCCAGTGTCTGGCACTGTGTCGTTGGGGTGCCTCAAGGCTGGTGATGTGTTTTCAGGGAACCTGCTGCACAGGGACATGTCCCTTGTGTGCATGGTCACCAGTGATGGCTCCCTGGCATAGTTGTTGGCTGGGGACATGTTCTTGGCATACCTGGAGGCCAGGAACTTGTCCCTGCAGTGCCCAGTGCCTGGGGATGTGTCCTCTGGGTGCCTGCTGGCTGGGGATGTGGTCTTCGGGTGCCTGATGGACAGTGAGGTGTCCCTCTGGCACTTGGCCACGGGTAATGGCTCTCTGGGGCACCTGGTGACCAGGGAGGTGTCCTCAGGGTGCCTGGTGGCCAAGACTGTGTTGCTCTGCTGCTTGGTTGCTGGTGATGGATCCTTGTGGTGCCTGGTGGCTGGTGACATGTCCCTGGGGGTCCTGGTGACTGACACATCTTTAGGATGCCTGCTGTCCAGGAACATGTCCTTGGGGTGCTCAGTGACCAAGGACACGTTCCTAGGGTTCCTGGTGGCCAGTGACACACCCCTGGGGCTTTCAGTGATTGGGGATATGTCCCTGGGGATCTCAGTGACTGGGGACATGTCCTTGGGACGCCTGGTGACCAGAGATGTGTCCCTGGGGCACATGGATGCCGGGGACCTGCAGGTGCAAGGGACATGTTGGGTTTTGCAGCAAAGGGTTGGGTTGCAGGACACTCATCTGGATGGGGGCACTCAAACTCACCGTGTCACTGGTGGGTGCCAGGCATGGGGTGGTCTCGGGGGTGTCACCAGTGACCTGGTTACACCAGAGGCCAGTGAAGCGCTGCCCCGATGTGGTTTTGGAGAGCTGAAGACCGGCAGCTGTGGGTCCCTGCTGTTCATCATGGCGGTGTCACCCTCATGTCCCCTTTGCTGAGGCTGCCTGGCTGCCAGCCCAAAATCTGTCCCCCACTCGCCTCCACTTCCAGTGACAGGGATGTGGCTGGGGCCAGCTATGAGCAGTGGGGTGCTGTGCACTTGATGCAGCTCTGCGAGGGGAATGAAGGACACAGAGCCATGGGCCATTACCCTGGTGTCCCCCATGTCCCCCCATGTGCCCCCCACACCCACCTCTCTTGCGTACACGCTCCCAGGGTGCTGGGTTTGGGGTGCTGGGTGAGGAATGCACCCCGGGGTGTCCCCCACCACAGCACCCCATGTCCCCGAGGGGCGGTGGGCGTCCCCCATGGAGGCTGCTGTGGATGGGGGGCGTGGGGGGGCCAAGGCTCGGCGGCTCCAAGGAGAGAGCTGGAAGAGTAAGAGAGGTCAGGGCACCCATGGGCCGTGTGTCCCCTGTCCCCTCTGTCCTTGGCTCTGTGTGTCCTCAAGTCCTTGCTGCCTGCAGACAAACTATGAGGGACACCAAGATGAGGGTTCCATAGCACCCCTAGGCATAGGGTGGGGGTCTTGGGTACACTTTGCTGGTCCCATGGCACTCTGTGAGGGTCCTAGGCCTGGGCTGGGGGCCCTGTTGCAGCAGGTCTGGGTTCCATGGAACTGGGTGGGCATCCAATGGCATCACATGGGATGGATGGGGGTCCCACAGTGCTGGTGGGGGTTCCATGGCAGAGAGTGGAGGCTCTATGGCTCTAGGTGGGGGTCCCAACCCTAGTGTTCACTGGAGGAGTGGGGTTCCCATGGCAGTGGGTGGGGATCCCAGTCCCCAGTGGGTCTCACTGGAGGGGTGGGGGTCCCTGCCGTCACTGCCCAGGAGTCGGCTGCTGAGGCTGCTGCTGCTGCTGAGGTTTCGAGGGGCACAGCTGGGTTTCCAGGGACCACCAAGCCACGGCGAGTCACCAGCCATCAGTCTGCAGGGCAAGAGGTGCTGTCAGTGCATCAATCCCCACCACATCAGGGGTCTGCCGTGTCCCCCACCCCATGGCCTCTCACCTGTGGCGGGCTGCGGCATCCTGGCTGGCACGGCGCTGGCAGAGGAGGAGGAGGAGGGCAAGTAAGGCCAACCAGAGCATGGAACCAGCGGCTGCGATGACAGCAGGCTGCCGCAGTGCCTGGACCACCCTGCTGCTCCCTGCTGTCAGCCCTGCAAGGGTTCCATCAGTGTCACTTCACGTCACCACTCGGACCCCCACCCGCACCCCACCTCGCTCTCCATCTCCTACCCAGGACTCCACAGGTGGCATTGCTGGGAACCCCCAGCCCTGCGCTGTTGAAAGCTGCCACCTGGACACAGAATTCGGTCCCGGGGTGTGGGAGGAGGTTTTCCAGGCGGCGGGTGGCTCCATCCACTGTCCTGTTGGTGGGATGCTGCCAGCCCTCACCCATTGACCAGACCTGGCAGACACCAAGAGGATGTGTCCCCTTAGATGATTAGCTTTGATGGCCCCCTGTGGATGGACACCCTGGGATGGACCCCTTCAGATGAACATCCCTTGATAGACTCCCATTGGATCCCCCATGGATAGATTCAGTTGGATGGGTGCCCTTAGATGAATTTCCTTGATGGACTCCCCTTTGGATGCGCCCTTGCATGATCCTAGGATGAACCTCCTTGAGTGAATAGCTCTTGGATGGACCCCCATTGATGCATCCCTCTTTGGATGGACCCCCTTGGCTGAATCCCCTAGGCTGGACCCCTTTGGATGAACTCCCTTGGATGCCACTAGACAGATGCTCTGGGATGGACCTCCACCCTGATTGGATGAACCTTTTGGATGAACCCTTTTGTTGAGATGGAGGTTAGACTGGATAGACTGGGTAGACTACTTGGATGGTTCCCCCCTTGGGTAGACCCCCACCTTTGACAGGCTCCCTTTTTGGATGGATCTCCTTGGACCGACCCTCCTTGGCCAGCCCTGCCCCCTGCCCCATTGCCCCAAACCTGGTAGCCCCGGATGACGCCATTGTGTGCTTCAGGAGGAGGTGGCTCCCAGCTCACGACCACAGTGCCGTTCCCAGTCTCAGCCTGGCTGACGGTGACGCGCTGGGGCGCTGCACTGGGCACTGCCGGGACAGGGATGCTGAGACCCCAGCTGACCTCCCCGTCCTCCACCCAGACATCCTGGGGGACACACAACACACCTTCCTCAGGTATCCAGAGGTGCCTGCTGTTGCTGTCTGAGCCCTGGGTCCCTCCAGTGTAGGGTCGGACCTTAAACTCGTACTTGTAGCCCCTGCGGAGCGCAGGGATGATGGCGCTGAGCTCCCTGCCTGCGTCATGTTGGAGCCAGGAGGTGGTGACCGGGAGCAGGCTGCGGTACAGCACCACGTAGCCCACAGGCACTGGCACCGGCATCAGCAGCTGAGGGAATGGGAAGAATTCCAAGTTAAGGTGGCACATGGGGATATTCCCATTTCCCATATTCCCATTCCCCCTCCTCTGGGGGCAGCTGAGCATCACGCCAACCTGCCAGCGGAGCTGGACAGCAGCAGTGGGCAGTGCAGTGCCGTTGTCCAGGTGCAGCCGCACAGCCAGCAGGTCCCGTGGGGCAGCCTCCTGCTGGCCCGTTGCCAGCCGGTCTGTGAGGCAGAAGAAGGTGAATGGCAGCACCAGGCAGGACCAAGGTCTCCTGGCAGCTGCCCAGACACCTACCTCAGACACCTGCACATGGAGATCCTGATGTCTACCTGGATGGACTTACTCAAATGAACTATTTTGGACAGACACCCTTTGATGGGTCTGTCTTGAATGGACCCCTCTTGGATGGGCCCCCTTTGATGTGTTGTCCCTGGGGACATGGGAAGGGATCCCATGATACACCCCCATGATGTGTCCCTCTTAGATGGACACTTTGGATGGATATTTCTTGTTCTATCCCCCTTTAATGTACTTCCACCTTGCATAGATCCCCTTAAATGGATCCTCTTGGAGGAACCAGGTTGTCTGGATCCCCTTTAGGTAGGTGATCTTGAATCTTGGACAGACTCCCACCTCAATGCATTTCCTTAGATGGATCCCCTTACATAAACCTTCTTGGATGGATCCTGTTGGATGGATGTGTTTAGATGGACCTGATCTTGGAAATGCCCCCTTTGATGGATCACCTCAAATGACTCATCTGGATGGACTTTTATCTGATGGATGATGGATGGCCTTGGATGGACCCCCTGGACAGACTGCCCTTGAATGGCCCCCTTGGATGAACTCCATTAGATGGACCCTGTTAGATGGATCCCCTTGCATGAAGCCCAAGATGGCCCTGGGTGCCTGTGGTGGTGGAGGCCACGGAGGTCCCACCACTGACCCTCCACGTGAAGGAAGGTGGTGGCGGCGGCGGTGCCCAGCTGGCTCTGTGCTGTACACACGTACGCGCCGGCATCGGCAGACGTCACGGCATAGAGGCGCAGAGTGTGTTCCCGGTCCACCTCGTGCCTGCGGGTCACCAGCTCTCCATCAGCCTCATCCTCACACCAGGGATGGGACACCTCCCCCCTGCCACCACCTACCTGCCCCAGGGCAGGTCTCCACGCTCCTTGTGCCACTGCACCTGTGGCGCTGGGTCACCTCGGGTGCTGCAACCCAGCTCCACAGTGCTGCCAGCCACCGCCACGGCATCGCTTGGGTGCCGCACAATGCTCGGCTTCTCTGCGGGGGAAATCACGCACATGACACCATGGCTGGGTGTGACGTGCCCACCACCCGTGGGAGACCCTTGGCTTACCCAGCACGGAGACACGGGCACCCCGGCTCTCCCTCTTGCCTGCCGCATTGGCCGCCACACAGATGTAGAGACCGGAGTCGCTCCGTTGAGCCGATGCCACCTGCAACTTCCCCTTGGTGACCACGTACCTGCCACCTACCAAGTCCAAGGTCACCCCGTCCTTCTTCCAGGTAATGTAGGGTTCGGGGTACCCCAAGGGGGGGACACAATCCAGCTCCAATGCTTGCCCCGCTGTGGTCACCAAATCACCTGGCTGCAGGCGGAAATTGTCCCGCAGCACTGCGGTGGGGAGGGCACATTGTGGGTGGGGGGAACAGGATTTTCTGGTGTCTTCTGCATCAGCCACCCACCAGGTGTCCTTACCAGCTGGAGTTTGGGGTGCCGTGGCCATGCTGGGGAGGTGGCAGCCTGTCGGGTGACAAGGAGGTGGGGGAATGCCAATAGGTGCCCCAAGTGGGCATGGTCTCAGATCCAGGGTAGGGCAGGGGGAAGAATTAAGTGGATTTTGGCCCCCATGGGCTGCACTCACCTCCGTGGTGCAGGGCAGCGAGGCAGAGCCCCAGGCCCAGTGCTGTCTCCCAGCCGCCCGCCATGCCGGCCCTGGCCAGCCTTCCCGTTTCCTCCCGAAATCCCGGTTCCTCCCTGCCAGCACCGGGGCTGGATCCGGCTCCGGATGGGGGGGTACAATAGCCGGATGCGGGGGCCAGGAAATGCCGAAGGGGGGGAAGGTGACGGTGGCCACAAACAGCTCAGCTGTCCTGTGGCAGTGGGAGTGCCTGGCCACGGTGGCACCCGGAGACAGTAGAGTGGGGGACACCAGCGGTTAATGAATTTAATTAGAATAAATTGCCCTTCTCCTTCGCCATGTTCAGAGGAAGACAAATTAAAAAGAAATGGGCTCTCAGCTGAGGACACCATCAGTAGGTACCAGAGGGAAACAGTCCAAGGTCTCCCAAACACTTCAAGTGCTGGTTTGAGTGCCACCCAGGTACATCGGGTTTGTGTGGTCTTGTCTGTCAGCCACTTCTCATGTGTCCCCCCACCCTGGGGGACCCCTGTCCCACAAAGACACCCAAGGGTGCCACCACCAGACGGGTAGTACGTTTAGTTTATTGGTTAGTAGTACACCCCGAGCACTCCGGGGTGCCCCGGCACCCACCCCGGGTGCCCCAGGGCCCGGCTCGCTTGGCCAGCCACTCTGTGCTTTTCATCCTAAACCTATTTCCCATGAAGGCTTGGGGAGAGACAGCGTTGTGTGCCCCAAAACTGGGGGATTTTCACAGAAAATCCTACCGTGGCAAAGGGGCAATGCTTGGGTCGGGGCTTCCAGCCCACGTTTAGGGGACATTGCAGCTGGGGAGCTGGGGGGCAGGAGGGAGCCCCCTGTTTAGACCACCTGATGCATGTTGCACCCTTGGGCGAGTTTGTGTGCCAATGCATGTCCTGCTCCATGCATGGGGGGTGTGCCACGGCGGGTGGGCCCCGTGCTCTTACACACATGTGTGCACACGTGGCTGCTGGGCGTGCAGTGTGTGTGCTCCTCATGCAGGCTCCAGTCATGCTCAGCTCTCTGTGCTCGCTCTCTCCACATGCACCACACACGCTCTGCACACTCACTGCAGGCTCCACGCGTGCCCTGTGCCAGCACTGCAGACTCATCCTTGCACGTGCTCTGAGCACACTCAGCTGCTCGCTTTGTGCACACTTTCCACACGCACCATGCACGCTCTGTGTGTGCTTCGTGCAAGCACAGCACACAGCCTCCCTGCTCCCGCTCTTTGCACGCTCACCACCTGCTGCATGCATGTTCTGTGCAAACGCTGTGTGCATGCTCACTCCACGTGCTCTGTGCACACTCTGCACAGGTGCTCTCTGCATGGACTCTCTCTGCACACTCTGTGCACTCTTGGAACACACACCAGTGCTGGCGCGCTCACAAAGGCCATGCTGGTTCAGTGGACACTGCACACTCCACACACGCTCTGCGCACCCTCTGTGCAGTGTGTGTTCTCTCTGGGGGCTCCACGTGTTCTCTTGCATGCTCTGTGCATCCTCTCTGCACGCTGTGTGCGCACTTGCTGCACACGTGCCTGCCCCCATGCACCATGTGTGCACAGTCCATGTGCCCTCCTGCACGCTCCATGCATGCTTCCTCTGTGCAGCGCTCCAACGCTCTCTCTGCATGCTCCATGCACACCCTCTGGCACACTCTCTCCGTGCAATGATTGCATGTTCTCGCTGCACACGCGTGTGCTTTCTGCACGCTCCCTGCACACTCGTCCCGGCGAGAAAGCCATTAAAGCGATGCCCCAGGAAGATGGGGGACGGAAGAGGGGAGCTCTGGGTGGGATCAATAGGAAATTAGTGACTTTACGCCGAGCAGAATGACGCCCAGTGGTGGGAGCAGGGCTGTGCCGGTGTCCCCGCTTGCTCGGTGGCGGAAATGTGGCCGTGCTGGTGTCCCTGCTCACTTGCACGCTGCCACCAAAGCGCGCACTGTCCCCCCTGCTCAGGCACTGATCTCCACGGCGTTGGCCTCCTCCTGCTCCCGAATAACGTGTACGCCGGCAGTCCGCAGCAGCCGTGGAGCGCCGCGGGAACGTGCCGGTGAACCCGGTGGTGACCTGTGGGTCCGCGTCGAGGCGGTTGAGCGAGCTGGCGAGCGATGGTAACGGCGAGTCGAACGCCCCACTGGTCCTGGCGAGCGTCCGGCTGCTGGTACTGGAGAGCTGGTGTAGCCTGGTTCAACTGTGCCACGGGGCTCAGGCAATGAATCCTCCTCCGCCTCTGGCGAGTCCTGCCAAAAACCAAGAGCAGAAGAACGTGGGACATGTGCAAGACCCGGTGCTGGGACACTGCTGATGTGCTACTGGTGCTACTGGTGCTACTGGCTCTCACCTTATCTTTAAGGATGTACAAAGCCACTGGGTTCTTGCGCTCGTGCTCGCCGCTCCGTGGGATGCCTTCAGCTGTGTGGAAGCAAAGTGCTGCTCACCATGCCAGGAGCATTGGTGATCCCCCAACCCACCACTGCCACGCTCCGGCACTCACCCTCGTGCTTCAGGCGCTCCTCATCCTGCTCCGCGTAGTCAGAGGTTGGTTGTGTCTCCGCTTGTCGCTTCTCCCTGGAGAGGGATAGGGGATGGGGCAGCAGTGGCTTTGTGTTAGAGGTGATGGGAGAACTGCCTATGGCTCATCCAGGGAAGGGTCAAGTGCTGCAGGGAGAGAGAGATGGGATGGAAAGGGACAGGATGGCATGGCATGGGATAGAAAAGGACGAGATGGAACAGAATAGGAGAAGATGGGATGAGATGGCGGGATAGAATAGAATAGATTAGTACAGGAGAGATGGATCAAGGTGGGATGGGATGGGATGGGATGGGATGGGATGGGATGGGATGGGATGGGATGGGATGGCACAGCATGGGGTAGGATGTGTTGAGATGAGATGAGATAGGATGGTATGGGACAGGACAAGATAGGATGGGAAGAGATGAAATGGGACAAAATGGGATGGGACAAGGCAGGATGGGACAAGATGGTATAACCCCCCTTGTCTCCTGTGTTATCCCCACACGTACTTTTTGGAGGGTTTCCAGCAGGCACAAACTGTCACCAGGGTGACAAGGAGGAAGATGCCGCCTGTGGACAGGATGATATAGAGAGAGCTCCGGCCTGCAGGAGAGGAATGAGGGCGGACAACCCCCCAGAAATTTTAGCTGAAAGCATCTGCAAGGGATGGCCATACCTGGGAGTGCAGAAAGGGTGGCTTACGGTAAACAGTGAGCTTCACGGGGATACTGCGGCCATGGCTGATGGGGTTCTCCACCAGGCAGCTGTAGACGTCATCGTCAGCCATGAGAACACGGGTGATGGTGAGGATCTTCTGGTCAGGGGAGAGGAGCAGGCGGGAGTCGTTGCTCAGCGGCCGCCCGTCCTTCAGCCAGGTGTAGGTGGGCTTGGTGCCATTCTCGTGTGAGCAGTTGAGGGTGAAGAACTCACTGAGCTCCAGCACCGTTGAGGAGGCCACCAGCACTTGTGGTTTTGAGATTGGAACTGTGGGCAAGTAGAGAAACCACGGTGATGCCATGTCTCAGGGGACAGATGGGCTCAGGGGACAGGAAGAGAGACATCAAAATCGCACCAGCTGTGCGATTGCATAGGGTGGTTGAAACCCCCCAAACCACCTCCCAGTTGGAAAAAGCCCTCCCAGTATGTGGTCAGGGAAGACATCCCATGGATAACTCAGTCTCCACTGGGTGTCCTTCTTGCCCTTACTGTCCACAGTGAGGTTGATGGTCTTCTCGCCAGTGAAAGTGTCGTCAGTGATGGACACCTCCACCTCGTAAGCGCCTTCATCAGCCAACTGCAAGGGGCTGATGAGCAGCGAGCCGTTCTCCAGCACCCGGATGCGGTCGCGGTAGTCGGGTCGGAGGTTGCCAATGATCTCGGTGCCGATGGACTGGACGACGGTGACAGGTTTGTCCCTCTTCAGCTGCCACTTGACCACTGGCTTGTCAGCGCTGGCGCTGGCGTAGCGCACTGACAGCAGCGCCGCTTTGCCCGCCGTGCCACGGACGAGTGGCGTGGGGCTGGTGATGTTCACCCCTGCCAGCAGACCTTGGGGTGTGGGGAGAGACAGTGGAGTGCCGAGCATGGAGAAAACAGGGAAACCCCAAGCTGGAGCTGTGCTGAGCACCCCCAAGGTGCCCAACTTGGTTCTGGAACCTTTGCAAAGATGCACGCGTGACCCCAAAAGTGCATGAGTGGTAGGAGCCTTCCTGCACTCAGATCAGTGCAACATGTTGTCATAATGAAGGAATCACCCCCAAAATGGCTTTGGGCATGGGAGGTGGGTCAATGCAACCTCCTGTGAAGATGCATTATCACCCCTCAAAGCTGCATTAGGGGTGGGAGTGTTCCTGCAGCCAGGTTAATGTAACCAAACCTTTGCAAAAATGCATGCATCACCCCAAAAATGCAAGGGAGAGGTGTGGACGGCATACATCCTGTTGCTGGGTTCTGCAAAAATGCATGTGGTGCCCCCAAAATGTGCAGGGCTTGGGTAGGAGCTCTCCTGCACCTGGGTCAATGCAACCCTTGGCAGAAATTTGTCTATCACCCCCAAACATGCAGAGGGTGTGCTCCTGCAGCTAGGTCAATGCAAAAATGCACACTTCACTTGCAGAAATGCAGGGGGTGGGAGGCAGGTCTTGGCTAAGCTGTATCATTGCCCTGCAAAAGCTGCCTGGGGAGTGAGAGACACCAGTGCTTTGATCAGTGCAGTGCTTTGCAAAGATACCTTAATTCCCCCAAAAATTGTGGGGGGACGGATTTTGTCCCATCCCCATCTACATTGGATGCTCTTGTCTAGACAAAGCCCCCTCAGATGCAAAACCGCATCACGAGAGTCTGTGCACGTGCATTGCTCCTCATCGCTGGTTTTAAGCCAGAAAAGGCAGGGAAAAATGCAAAAACATGATTTTCTTGGGGAGGGGACTCCCCAAAACACTCTCCCTCCCCAAAATACCATAGCATCCCCCTCCTGACATCCCAGAGGATGTCCCATTCGTGAGCCCCCCATATGGATACCACCATCAACAGTGAAC